AAAAAAAAAAAAAACAAAAAACAATAAAATAAAAAGAAATAATTGAAAGAAAACAAGTTTGTGTTTCATATGTTTGAAATGCATTTGTGAATCAGTGAATTTACGCATGGAATGTAATATAGGCGTCGGAACCAGGAGGGCTAGGGGGGGGGGGAGCTTCCCCCCCCCCCCACTTTTTTTTCCAAATATATACTTAGTATAGGCAGTATAGGTTAGAAATGGGTAAAGTAATGAAAAGTAGTGGAGTTTGAAAAAAAAATTTGGTACTGAAGTTCGATCCCCCCCCCCACACACACACACACACGAAATAGAATTTTCGTCTTTGGGAAAATGAAGCTTCCTTTTCTTTTTTTTTCTTTTTTTATTTTTTGCTTGTCAAATATTTTTGGAAGGTATAAAAAAAAATTTTATACACTAAGCCCCCCCCCCCCCCCCACTTTCAATTTGCTTCCGACGCCAATGTGTGTTACGCCGCATTTAAAAAATCAAAATGTGAAACACACAAGATCAAAAAAGTCAAGGCCACAAGGTCATTAAGACATTTGTAAGAACAAATTTCTATCTACTATGATTCAAAAGTTATGGCCAAAGTTCGAAAAAGTTATTTTTTTTTTATCAAATATGAAGTCTCTATCTCTAATGGTTCAAAAGTTATGGCGAAGATTAAAGTCGACAACAGACAAACAGATATAATGTGACAAAAAGATAAACAGACAGACAGGACAAAACAATATACGCCTCGGATCTATAAATCCAGGTGCATAAAAAATTCAGAGTGTATTAGATATTGAACCAAGTTAACGTACTTTGAAAAGATATTTGTTTTCAATGTGCGTTTATATATCACGCATTCATATATTACCACTTTGAAAAAAGATTTGAACGATCTCGCCAATATTCTGATACAGGATCATTTTTTATATTTAAAAAAAAGAAATGTTACTTTATTATATATAATCCACATAGTCGATATAATAACAGTTTCACATTTAATATAGTGAAATATTTTTTATATAAGACGATGAAGATAAATATAACTTCTTAAAAACATTTATTTTTGATTTGGCGATTGTGGCCACGACCTACATAATACAATATATATTTTATTATCTTTATAACATAACTCCTTATAAACCTTATCTTTATAAACATTATCCTTATAAACCTTATCCTTTTAAACCTTATATCCTTATCCTTATAAACTTTATATCCTTATAAACATTGTATCCGTATCCTTATAAAGTCCTGAAGATTTGAATACTGACAACATTCAAGCTGGTACTGGGTTAGCAGATACTCAGCAGAAGTTGTGAAAAAATAATTGTATCATGGAAGGCGTCTTGAAAAACCGCCAAATGGTTGTCTTTTGAAAATGACAACCACCGCCAACGAAGTTAGGTGGAATGAGAGACGCTAAAATATGTGTAGGCGTGGCCTCATCTTGAAGCTTAAACTACATTTTAACCTTTTATAGAAAAACATATTCTTGCAAAGCCCTTTTGTTAGTTATATATCAAGAAACAATTACCGATGTACGACAGGTGAACTCCATCACTACTAAACATTTCATTTGAATCCCAAGTAATCTCTGGATATTTGATTAAGAATCCACCATTGACAGCAACTAAGTGATTCATAAAATTATTGAGTCTAACAGTAGCAAGATTTTGAAATTTTGAGTTTGTACTAAAACGCCATGAAAATCTTGGCAAAATATTAGACCAACCAATTGTTGTGTTTTGAGTGTTGAACACATATTAGACCGTAGTTGCAGCAATGTAATTTTACCTATATCATTCCCTCCACAATGAAAAATTAAAATTTTTGGAGGTGATTCATACCGTATCAAAAGTTTTATTTTTGGAATAAGGTCAAATTATTTCATACCTCCCTTTCCCTGCCAAAAAATTCTGTAATTTCTTCGTTTTAAGCCTAAATCCACACCATCAAAGGATTTTCTTGCATAGTAGAATGCCAATTTAATAATTGAAGAACCAACAATCCAAATAACCTTTTCATCTCCTACATAATAATATGAAAAATTAATCTAGAACATACTAAATCCTAATATACCTTTTGAAGGCATCTGAACTCCATCTACCTTGCTTTTTTATTTCTGTTTCTGACTGACCGGAAGAAAAACTATCTGACGCGGCACCAATACGGAAAGAGTGAGATTTGTACTTGGAGTTTGGAAGACCGGCTATTTCGAGGTACTTATTTAATACTGAAAAGAATTGAAACCTTGTTAGAGGACTACCATCCAAATGTTTAAATAATTGACCGTCAAATTTCGGCCTCATGGTAATGTACTTTTTCAACCAGTCAACTGGACAGATAGAATTCTTTGATTGATTCAAACAAACAGATATTCCTTACCCAAGTTGGTCAGTTTTTGAGAAAGGAACTCTAAGCTCTACGAAAATTTCCCCAGAAATTTCATTTTTTCTAAATTTTACATGTTCAATAGAAATAATTTGATTTGCTTGATTTGAACTACTAAAGGTAAATTCACCAATTCTAAAAAAAAAAAATAAGATTGGCTACCGAAAATGCCGTTGAAAAAAGAATGGCCTCAAAATTCGACAAACAAACTAAATAAAAGTTTCTCAAGAATGTGTTTTGTAATAGGAAGTCTACAATCTTTTAAATGGTTTGACCTTTTGATTCCTTCCAATAATTTTCTAATTAGAAAGTTTTCTGTATTGTGTGGAACAGGTGGAGGCCAAACAGTACAAAGTTCATACAAAATTCTGAATTGCTCAAAGCTTTTTAGACTAGTGGAATATGTTTGCCTTGTATTTACTGATACAGAATTGAGTGTCGAGCGTTTAATTTTAGTTCCAAGATTAGTTTTACAAAAAGCCTCTGGAATAGGTGTCGGATCTTGATTGGAGTTGGGGGCAAGAACACGAAACCTGGTCCACTGTTTGCGAGAAATAGAATCCGCTATAGCATTATTATAACCATCTATATGACAAGCTTTAAAGTAAAAATTGTTTACCATGGAATGTAAAACAATTGGCCTAAACAATTCCATAACTCGGGGAGATTTTGATGATTTTTTTGTTTAAAATGGAAACTAAAGCTTTGTTGTCAGTGTTCAGCATTATTTTCTTGTCGAGAAATTCATTCTTAAATAAGAAAATTGCAAGGACAATTGGCACTAACTCTAAAAATGCTATGTCTAACATAATGTTTGGATTCTTCCAGCTATCTGGCCAACCAAAATATGCCCATTGCCCATGAAGGTAAACGCTGCATCCTAAATGTTGATTACCTGTACTATCAGTGTAGAGATGAAGTTGGTCATTAGACAACCAATTAACAGCCATGAAATTTAAACTGCCATTAAAACCTGTGTATGAAATCTAACCACACAAGAATGTCAGATTTCATTCCCTTTGTTACCCTAATGAAATGACTTGGATATTTTATTCCATACATAGCATCACAAAATCTTCTATTAAAGGCCCTAGCAGATGGAATAGCTTTAGCACAAAAATTCAGAGAACCTACCGAAGATTGTAATTCTCTCAGCGTAACTTTTGTTTTTTGTAACATATCAAGTAGTGATTTCTCCAGGTCGATATTTTTTCTGCAGGAATTCTAATAACCATCTTATTTGTATCAATTTCTATACCCAGGAATGTAAGTACCGATTTTGGGCCCTCTGTTTTCTCTTCTGCAAGAGGGATGCCAAAAGCAGAGCAGGTATTTTTGACGATAACATCAACAGGTTACATGTTTCTAATGTTTATCCAGCAAATATGAAGTCATCTAAGTAATGATTCAGAGTGTGAACTCCAGTTTTTACTTCTACTACCCACTGAATAAAATATGCAAACTTTTCCCATAAAGCACAACTAATTGAACAACCCATTGGTAGACACATATCGTAGTAATGTTGATCGTTAAACTTGAAACCAAGTAATTGATGGTCAGAAGGGTGAACCGGAAGTAATCTAAAAGCTGATTTCACATCCATTTTTCCCAGATAAGCAACTTTTCCCAGTGACCCTACCATGTCTAAAACCTCGTCAAAAGAAGTGTATTGAACAGAACAAGCTTCGGGGTCTACAAAATCATTAACACTAAAATTAGAAGGATATGAAAGTTGGTGAATGAGACGCCAACCCCATCCTTTTTTGATACAACTCCAATAGGTGATAGCCTTAAATTTGACAAAGGTTCATGATTGAAAGGACCTGCTATTCGACCCAAATTAATTTATTTGTCAATTTTTTCTTTTACCTCTTTTGGGTGATCGTTCAAAGAAACTAAATTTTTACGGGTTGTTGACACTGTTAGACCTTCATAATGTAGATAAAAACCTAATTCAAGCCCGTTCTTTAATTCATTAGCTACAGTTTGATTTGGAAAAATTGACATATAAAGACACATATTATTGAAGTTAATTGGTGTTAAAACTGTTCTTACGAAAGGGGCCTGTTGAATATTTGCTGCCTGGCTGACGAAAATTTGAGAAGGGGGCTTGAAAAGCTCTATAGGACAATGTCCTCTATACATCTTGTTTATCAGGACAATGAATTGCAGGATGTTTGTTTTGCCACTTGAAACACTGGTGTTGATATTGACAATTTTGCATGCGACAAGAGCCTTTGTTGTTATATTCATAACAAAATTTTGAGCTGACCTGAGAATTTTTACTGAGTTAGCATTTGGGGTTATGTTAAGAAGCTAAAGCTCTGGGTCGATTTTGTCCCAGGAAATACTGTTATCTTTGGCTCTTTTCAGTCGGAATTGTCGGTAGTATTCTCTCCAACCTAATCCACCAGAAACTCGACTGGCACCGAGTTTGACATTAGCCATATTTTTGATAAGGCTGTGAGTTTGATCAATATGTGCTGACAAATATATACTCATATGAATAAAAAATGCATCCAGCCAAGTGTCAATTGTTGTTATTTTGATTGTATTTGCAGGTTTCAATGTGAGTTGACCATTTGAAAAAAGAACTCTGCTTATTCAAAAGTGTATGAAATTCCATATTTAATATGGTGAAATATTTAATACAGTAATAGAAGATTGATTAGGAAATGCAATCCTCCTTCATGAATTTTCTAAAAGACGTCTCAAATTGTTACTTTAGTTTTACATATTCCCAAAACCAAAAGAACTACGAACTCTAACTCTTGATTCCCGCCTACATTTTGCACCCATTAAATTCAATTTTAATGGCAAATTAGCCATTTAATCTTTGTTTAATACAAAGAACAGTTCTATGGTAATAGATTAACCATTTTAATTCAAGCGCTAAATAGTAATTTATCATTAATTCCAGCTCTTGAAAAAATGGGGGTAGACGATATTTTCTAGTGAAATCGAACTTTCAAGAATCACCATATTTTGGAATAGTCCTAAATATGATAAAATGTATCTCATATCTTTTCTTATGTTTTACGCAAATAAATAAAACATATATAAATTAATAAAATACAATCAGTTAGTTGTAAATAGCTTTAAATTGGTAAAAATCAGCATTTTTTCGTTTTTTGTCTATAAATATATGTTCCACCCCGTGAAACACAAAAATCTTTGGCATAAATTTGCAAAATGACAGTCCAAAATACCAGTAAAAAGGAATTTTTGTTTCACAGTGGGGAAAGATGTTTTAAAAATATTTTCCGTTTTCCATTGATTTCTAAAACTCAAGTTTTACCAAAATTATAGTTATCTCTCTTTGGTATACCAAATAAGTAACGTTTTATTAAAATTCATATACAAATCTATAAAAAAAAAAATTGAAAATCATTCGAATATGTTAACTTTTGAGAATTGACTTAGTGGTAGGCGGGAGAACAATACTATCGTTCGTGGTTCTTAGGTACAAGGCTTAAAATTCAGAACATAATTCAGAACCGTCGCCAAGATGATGTTTGTCGTAAATGTACATATAGTTGCATGAACAATGGGTCCAATTCACGGGGAAAATATTTCAATGACAAACTACACCAGCGTCTTCACTGTGCCCACAGTTTTCATTTCCAAATCCATTAAAAGGGCATAATGCAAGTGACCTTTCTCCACCTCCACAGTTAACATCATCCATCCATATCTGACCGCTCCCTTCTCCAAAATGAGCATTAGAATAAGCACTTCCAGAGCTAAAGAAATGACACAGAATTAGAAGACGATTGACTCTAGACTTGTTTGACGAATTTTGCTATTTCTCTCTTGTTCAATGCACTAATACCTGTATATAGAAATGGTCATTCTTCCCTATAGGTCTTGATTTTTAAATTTTCACCCTCAAATTAATTCCCTTTTGTAACTTAGTATCTAAATATCTAAGAAAGAAAGGGCACTTGATATACTTCCTTATTCAAGTATGATATATCAATCTATCAAAATCAGATGTCTTTTAAAATGTATTTTGAATTCAAATGCCGTTGTCTTACCCAGAAAATCCCAGCGTTCTACAAACCACGCGGGCGTCGTTGTCGTCCCAGCTGTCGTCACACACAGTTCCCCAGGTGTTGCCCAATTTGACCTCTACTCTTCCCTCTCTTGATGAAGATCCTCCGACCAACCGGATGTCAACTGCATTGAAAATAAAAAGATTTTCAAACAGTTAAAATCTTTCATAGATTTTCATTTTCTGATAGAATTTTTTCTGTTCATGATGATGTACGATGCCTTTGCTTTTCATATCTTTATTCAGTCAATTAGTCATATTCCTCTAAACTTAGAATCATCTTAAAAATCAAGTAAATAATTTACAGCAAATGACACCAATATCCTCGTCATGACCACAGTCGTGGTGGCCATAGGCAGCGTGATTACATAATGCCAGCAATGGTTCATCACCCCTACATGACACATCGTCTAGAAGGATGTGATTAGTTCCTCTTCCATACGCTGCTCCCGCATTCTTAAAGGTTGCATGTGCCCTGCATACAATAGTTTCAAGAGATTCAATACTCTGTTACATTTTGTATTTATTACTTTCATTTAATTTTCAACACCTTTGAATTTAAGATGCATTTTAAAAGGGCTAAGGGGATATTGCCGAATAGAGATTGAGTCTTTAAAAGTCCAGTAATGATTCAAACCAGTTTAGCTTCACGCATTGGCAGACAGAATTTTAGTAAACAGGTTAATCTCAGCTTTTAGAAATTTGGTAAATCTCAGCTTTTAGCAATTTACTGGCATAAACTTAAATTTGTTTTAGAAATAAACGAATTACAGTGTGTACGTATCAACTGCATTTTTATTTTTCACATTGTCGGATATCGACGATTGAGTCGCCAGCATTGCGCAGTGGTTAGAGCGTTTGCTCTAGAGTAGCAAAGTAAAGGCCCTTTCACAATTGGCGCACGAGCAGAAGCGACAAAATATTCGTGCGACCGAATATTTTGTTTATGATCGTAAACTGTTGCCAAAATAATCGCTTATGAAAAAAGTGTTCGTACGAAATTCGCAAGATCTAAAGCGACTGTTGTGCATTAAATCTTGCGATATATCTTGCGTCTATATGCGACTGTTGTAGAATGAAAGCGAGTGTTGTAAGATAATGCGATAGGATTGCACATCTGAACAGGTAATCGGGCGATTGAACGTGCGACAATACGACTGCTCGTGCGCTCATACATTCCATAGTACGAATGTTCGTGCGAGTCTGAGGGTCGGGTATACCACCAGTTTCCGACGCTCTTCAGTTGACATAGTTAAGATGCTTATAATTATATACGGTATAATATATACCTGTTGCAAAGTATGGCAACTGAAGGTGATAAATCAAGTAATGGTAGTAAAACGTTGCAAGATTACATGAGACATGTTGAGCAACAGTCTCATGGTCGCAAAACACACGCAAAGACAGCTGCGATTAATCTTACGATCATTAAAAATCGTGCATCAGTCTTATGAGTAAATAAAACGTTGTAAAACGTTCGTACTAATATTCGTGCGTTGAATTGCGATAATTTGGATCGCATTTGGTCGCGTCTGAATAGTGTGCATGCTGACTATTTTGAAGAGACCTGATGCGACCACTAAAACACATGCAACGAATGCGAGTCATCGTGCAACGTCTGCGATAGCTCGTGCGAAGCTAAAATTTTCCCATCGCAAAGTGTCGTAAAGTGCTCGTGCGCCAATTGTGAAAGGGCCTTAAGGAATCAATCCTTGCGTCGCAGGTTCGAATCCCACTGCAGGACGAGGAGTCTAGTCCATGGTGGTGTCTCCATATGACTGAAAAAATTCTCTATAGGGACTTTAAACAATTTACAATTAATCAATCATCTTTTTACTAATTATCGATATTAATGACACTTTGGGACTTTGCAAATTGCCTATAAATGATGAGACCAGTTGATGATATACGACGATGACTATTTCAACTTTAGTATCATAAACTAATAGAAATTAAAATGTACGAATTATATCCAAGTTGACGACAGGCAACTCTCGCATCATTGTCATTGAAGGAATCATCACACACGGTTCCCCAGCTGTTTCTAAAATTCACTTCTAATCTTCCTTCAGCGCTGATATCTCCACCACGTAATCTCACATCTTGAAATAAGTTATGATTTGGGTGAATATTACATTCATGCATAAAAGACATGTTAAAAAGCTTATAATGTAAGGGTATTTTCTTAGACTAAAAAAAGATTCTTTTCTTACATGTGCCTTGAACAAAATATAAAAGAACAATACAATTGGACACCTGATTAACACTAAAAATTCACGTTTCAGGGAACAAGGGCTATTTAACTGCATGCAGTCACATACATGTACTCGTATATGTTGATAACAAAAAAAATGTATTAGTTAAGATAAAAGATTGTGAATATAAATTTTGCAACAAATAAAATAAGAAATTGTGAAACATGATAGCAATTAGTTGACTTATAAGCTACTAATGGCATTTCAAACGTTGCAATATTTGATCGTTTTCATTTGTATTGTATATTTTTGTAATCTATTTATTTTTCCATTTGTATTGTTAAACTTTATTTTTATTATATGTGTTATATAATTTTAAATTTTTATTGTATAATTTTCCATTTATATTGTATAATTTCGTATTTATTAATTTATATAATTTTCCGTTTAAACCTAACTAAAAAAATAAAATGTGACTAAACTGTCTCAAAAGCTAATGTCGCTCGGTATCATTTAGCTCTAACATGTAATATAATATACCAGAACCTGATCTTAAGACACTGTTTAAAACCTATATAAAATATACTTGTACAATGTATTTAAATTAAAAGAAATGAAACCGCTTCTCGCTAAGTAACACGGTTTTTCTTTAGTGTGAATCCATAGCATGTCACTAAATATCGACTAACTTCGACGGATTTGTTTTAAACTTCACGGCAGACAGAATGCCAATTTCTGAATAGAAAAGAAACTTATCTGAAAGTGACCATGGAACTTTATATCATTGATTCTAGTTAGGAGTTAACTATTTTAGACGATTACATTTTCGACTTAACAAAAGCAATAGGAGAAAAACAGTTGTCTCTTCTAAAACAACAGTAACGCTTATTCTGGAAAGTTTTTGTTAACTGGAAATGATTCATACTTTTGTTTAATATCCTAAAAGAAGTTTTTATTTTAACTTTTGCCGAGAATTTCAACTTTTATCACTGGGGAATTAACTTTATTTTGGATTCTTGGGAGACTTCATGAATCATACTTCAGCATTTTACATGTAAACAAAAAATTAAGTCAAATTCAGATCTTGTGACAGTCATTCTACATTAAAAGGGCCAATTTAGTTCAGGGTATGTAATATGAAAAAATAAAAGTTTCAATTAGTCAATTAAATATTTTAATTCACTAAGGGACGTATCAGTACACTTTATAAAAATCGTATTTTTATTAACAAATCGCAGTTGTAATAAATAAAAGTACCTAGTATGTTTGTTCAAGATGGTAGTCAACAGTATGAAATATTTCGCCCAAAAGTAATAAAATCTATCATATCTTAAATGCAAAATCAATCCTGAATTCCTCTTACGGTAGTCAAATTTTTAGGGGGGGGGGAGAAAAATTCGACCGATTTCATATTTCACAAAAAAAATTCATTGGTATTTTACATTCAAAGTACATGTAATCTAATCAGAAAGCTTATACAGCAGAAAAAAATACAGTATATCTTGAAATATTGTTTTAAGTTTTTGTAATTTTTCATTGTAATTCTTACAGATACGTGTAATGCTACGGACATTTGAACACATTCACCTGTCTAAGAATTACGATGTTGAAGAAGTTGTAATATAGGTAATATAGGTAGTGATATTGCAAAGAGCACATTTCCAATCAGTTAAATAAATATGTGTAATGTTCAACTTTTTTTTTTAAATAAAAAGTGTGGCTTACATCATAAACTTACCTGTTATCATCAATGTATTTAAATTTTGTTCCATCGTGGAAACTCTATTGGTTGTGTTTTGAATGGTTCCTGACAGCACGTAATATTGATTTGTGAGGGATGATATGTGACTAAATGAATATTGGTGATTTTGAGACACTGTTGTTTGCAACGAATTAACAGTATTTTTAATGCTATAAAAATCACTTGAAAGATTGGACACTTTTGAAGAAATTGCAGAATACTGATTGGTTAAAGTTGAAATTTGGCTTGAAACATGCAACAGTGTTCCTTGTAAGGAATTGACTGTGTTATTAGTTGTTTGCAAAGCATTTGATAAAGAAGTTAGCTTATTTTCATTCTGACGCTCAAGAACTGAAAGAGAAGTAACGCTTTGATTCACAGAGGACAGTGAATGCTCCAAAGATGTGATTCGACTCGTCAATTCCGCGTCTTTTTGCTCCTGCTTGTTTAAAGATACAGTCATGTATCGAAGAGAGTTGGCTATATTATTAATTTTCAAAGCAAGATCGGTTGCATCCGATACATTTGATAACCTGTGATATTCATCCATAATTCGTTGCACATACACTTGAAGAACAGAAAGTTCATTGCTTAGAGTTTGTGTTGAGGGCGTCTGTTTGGAAATGTTGAGCAGTTGATCAATCATAAACGCTTGATTCTGCAAAGTGTTGTTCTGAAACTGAATTTGGGTCTGCAAGTGGTTTATACGCTGGTCCATGTAAGCAATCGAATCATTTCCGACAGTACCTATGTTTGATGGTGGCTTGTTCGTATTCATAAGAAAACATTGCACAGATAACAGTAACCCACAGATTACGAACAATGATGTGTTAATGTAATTCATGATGAGCGAGTTATTTAAATTAGAAACACAAAGACATTGTATGAAACTTTATATGAACTATCCCGGAAGTAAGGCAACCAATGACTGCTCTTTCCAACCCTTATCTGTAGAAACTAAACACATTCAAGAATCTGTTATCAATGAACCAGTCAACTTTATCGTGAATGAATGGTCTCATCCGTTTCCTTATCTTAATTTTGTACTTTAATTTTTTTTTATTATTATTTTATTAATTTCTTATAGCTAAAGCAATCAGTAATTGAATATAGTTTATATAATAGTAATTGGTCTGGAGGTATATATAGTAATTTCAAATGTCAAATTACTTTTCCTGAAAGGCCTTTCAGGATTTTTTTTTTCATGGCACATGAACATAAAATTTAATTTTTACTCAGAATTTTTTCCATTAACCCGATCATGGCAGGGAACACACGGCAGGTGCGACCGATCGAAACCTGAGTTTACTACTATGCTTACTGGCATCTGACCTTCACCTCTATTTTTGAATAGTTTAATCTGTATTGTTTCTAGATTTGTTTTTAAATCAATCGCTGTTATGTTCTTCTCCTTTTTCATTTATTAATCCGAAAATATAGCTGTCCTACTTTAAAATTCTATTCTTGTATTAATTTACCGGTAGGGTTTGTCTTTTGAAAAGAGAAGAAGCTCTGTTTTGAAAATATTTATAACTATGAAGTTATACGTTTTAACCAAATATGAGTGTGGTGAAAATTTACTTATTATGAAATGTCGTTCTATAGAGAACCTAGATCATTTTGTTGAGAATACTATAGGCCAGTAGGAAGCCATTTTAGTTTGGAGGAACACAGCCAAACATTTTCCGTTGGGCCCTATCAACTATCAAAAATTCCTAGACACAAAAAAAATCAGACGTTTTTATTCAGGAGGCAAAAGAATATTGTAGTTAAGTTTTCTACAGTATATGTACATCGACAATATTATTGGGACACACTCCCTGTCCCGGTTCCTACGTCAATGCACTACCGAAATGTTCCGGGTATATTTATAACCTCACAATCTTGTTTATTCGTGTAGAATATCCCTCCTAATACAAAATTAACGTAATTAGAATCAGCCGGAAAATCAAGTGTCATACAACTTAGATCTGTTTACTTGTACCAAGTGAATTCTAAAATGGCACTTGCTTACAATGTAGGTTTTACAGAGTTCAGTTGTATAATCTTATCTTTTTCTGCCCCTTTAGACACGTTTGAATGTTTACAAAACTCTCTGCAAAGATGAAACAAGGAGAGATAAATGGTAGCGTAATAAGTATTCTGCAGAAGAGGAAGCTAGTTGTCACCAGAGCTTTGATTGGACGAGAACGTTTTTGAAGTGTTTTTTTTTTCTTTTTTAGATTAAGAGATTAACTTAGATAACTCTATATTAGCAAACTCTTAGATAACTCTATACCTTTCAATAATACTGAAAGAGGCTCTAGATAAAATATTGAAATGAAGTTAAGCCTTCAAACAAGTACTATCAAATCATAATTTACTTCTCCATGATTAAAGCATACTTTAAACGTTGGTGGGGGTAAACTTGAAAGAATTGTGGCAAAAATACTTGAAAGAATTGTGGCAAAGTAACAGTTGAAAATTAGTAGACTATTTTTAGCTTATTTTTAGTCCTCCATATAGAAAAATAAAGGTAGGGGGTTTTTTTTTGTTGATAATCGACTTCCTCCTAAATAAGTAAGGGAGGGGGTGGGCATAACACCTAAAAATATGCACTGTAAAGCTATGGGCTTGTGTAAAATACATATTCTATTTCAAAAACTATACATGTAGACATAACCTTTTGATTTAGCACACAGTTTTCATTACATTACTTAATTCTTGTTTACTCCACCCTTTTACATTGTACTCAGTTCTGAGTATATTTTTTCAGACTTTAATATGAAAATCAGAACAAACATTTTCATTTTTGTCACGTCTTCTTTATAGTGTATCATAATATGAAAGATTAATTAAAGACCATTTCATTTTATGTCCCCGTAATCGAAGATTCGGGGGTATATAGTTTTATCGTGTCCGTCTGTATGTCTGTTTGTCTATCTGGCGGTCTGTTTGTCCGCAAAAACTTTAACCTTGACCATAATTTTGCATTTATTGGAGCCTTTTTACATTAAACCTTTCTTAAGAAACCATCAACTTTGATCCTTTGACCTTTGAGTTTGACCTACCTTTCAAAAACTTATCCTTAGCCATTACTTTTGAATTAACAAGTGGTGTTAGGGCTTTCCTAATTTGCAATTGTATTTCTTGTGAGAAGACCTTACTTTGGGTACCAATATATTTAAATTGCATTTATGAAAAGTTTAGTCTTCGCTGTGTTGCCATACAGGGGCATAGCTGTTTCACAAACACATCTTTTTTATATATAAGAGGAGTTGCGGATAAGAGATGGATACCCCAAAGCGTAATAGATGGACGGACGAACATCCCGATAACTATAAACCCTCCCGCTTTTCAAGCGGAGAATACAATAACAAAAATACTGCTGATTTTTTTCTGTCATTACGATGATTTTCTCCATCGAAAAACAATGTTTACCTAACCCTTTAGGCTCGATAAATCTTTTACTCCTTTAATTCTGAATCATCGCATTGACCTTAAAATATAGCTATAATTGTATAATGTTATGAGATCAACATATCAGCAATTTAATTATTCCCAATTAGCTCAGGTGAGCATTTTGGCCAATATGCTTCGTTATTTTTATTTTTTTTTTTTTTTTGCCCCCTAAAAATTTCAGCTTTAATCCACAGGGAGTCATTTTTCTACGGGGGTCATTTTTCTTCACGTGGTTTCTGCAGATTTTTAGGGCGGTGATACTTTTTCTTGTGTCTTCCCACTTAGCCAACATTTTGAAAAAATACAGGTAAAACACAGGAAAATCTATGTTGGCTAAGTGGGAATGGGGTAAGGTAGAGAACAAAGGAAATTAATTACAGGTAGGCTATAATCTGTATAGATGAATAAAATATTTATGAATTTTAGTCTATATTAATTTGAGGCATGTTTTGAAGAATAGTAACATTAGATAGTCAAAATTAAAAAGGCCTTTCTAATTATTTTATGTAAAGAAAGGGCTTTTTTTTGTAAATTATGGATATCAAGAATTTAAAAAAAATAATCAAATTATTTTTCGACTTTACATTTAGTAAACAGAATAAAATTAAGTCAATTAAACCTTAGAAACACTAGGTTTTACAAGTTGAAAATTGGTGAGAATTTATATTTGAATGTAAATAACATTTATCATTTACATATACAATTATGTAATAGCTTTTCATATTATAGCTTACTAGATATGTCATACATGTATAAACATGTAAATTAAGATATAATTCTTATAAAATAAAAATGTATTAAAAAATAGATAAATTTCATAAATTGTTTAAAATCTTTCCTAAAAATGAAAAACACATAATATGTTGCAACATGTCTTTTTTTACTGTATTTTTTTTTTTTTTTTTTAAGAAAAATAATAATTTTTGAGCATTTTCGGTAGTAAAGTAAAACTGTACAGATGAAACAAAATGACAGGAATTTTCTTTAAAAAGTTAAATTTTGAGGACCAAAATGGAACTCAATATATAATTAAATATATAATTAAATCTTAAAGAAGGGTTGTGTACATCAAGTAGCAAATGAATACAGTATGTCAATTGATTTCTTCATCAGATAATAAATCACTTTGTATCGGCTTCTGTTACTGTTGTTCATGCATTACCATGATTAAATTTTATTACATACTCGAATAAATATTTCTAATCTCAAAAGTTAATTGTAGTAGAACATTCAAAATTCTTTAACTTTTTTTCTTTGTTTTATCATTAAATACTCTATTTCTTATCAAATTAATCTTATAACTATTTAATTTTTTTAAATAATGCAGATATGTGTTTAGTTTAGTATATTTATATGAAAAACAAAAGAAATGAATTACAGGTAGGCTATAGTCTGTCTTAGCTATATGCTGAATAAATAGTAAATAATAAATATAAAAATAAAATAAATAATTAAATGTTTTCTTCGGTTTATTCCCACTTAGCCAACATTTTGAAAAATCCTATTCCCACATAGCCAACATTTTGATTTTTACCCATGAGTGATTAACAGGCTATAGTCTATTTCTGGTATGAAATAAAAACAGTGTAAAAATATACTAATCATAGGTAAAATTTGAGTCAAAATAAATATAAAATGAAAGAAAAAAATTAAGTTCATTAATTTTTTATTGTAAAAAAAGTAGTAAAATTTTACCAGAGAATTAATTTATTCAAAAAAGTAATTTATTTAAATTAATAAAAAGAATATTAATATCATGTAATTTAATCAAGAAAAAAAAAAGAAATAACATTTTTTACACATAAGACACTTTGAAGAAACAATTTTGTATAATTATTAAATTTGGTTTTGTTTATACTTGGAAGTTCAAGTTCATTTTATTTTTTAACCAGTAAAAATGCTTGTACATAACATTACCGATACACAAGTTAAATATATAATTATTTCATAAATGATTATAATTGAATGTTTTAAACACTATAAGCTAGATAAACATAATTATCATCAATAATTTACATTTTTTTCCTTGTTTGGTAGATGGACTGATACTGACAGAGCTTTAAGATTATGTTATTTATGTAACAAAAAACTTTGGGGGATGAATTTCACTATGTAATGGAATGTCCATATTTTTCGTCTTTACGGGAAAAACTTATTGATAAGAAGTATTGTACTCATGTAAATACTTATAAAATTGAGAAAATTATGTCCATCACAAATGTTGACTCACTGTTAAAACTGTCTCTGTTTGCTAAAAAGATATTGGCCTGCTTCTAGTAACTATTTTCTTTAATTGACACTACTCGTCCTGACTTGACTTTGTATTTTGTATATATTGTAAATATGTTCCTGTACCTCATATACCATTGTATGGTCTAAGTGTAAATAAACAAACAAGGAATTAAAAAAATCACAATAAAAAAATTGTTTTTAATATTCAAATCTTATCTATTGCTGTGAGATGTGAAAAATTTAAAAAAAAAAAAACTAATAAAATATAATTAATTTACACAAGCGTTTTTCTTGAAGGTTATATTTGAAATATAGTCATGATAGCAGTAAATGCATCTCTAAAAAAATGAATTTAAATCTAGTTTTCATAATTATATTTCTAGGGTGAAAACAATATGTCTTGTTGTTTATATTTGAATTATAGTAGTGCACGTATCTCTAAAAATAAATTAACTTAGTTTTATAATTAAATATAATTCTTTAGAGAAAGAGAAATTCTCATTCATTTCATATTTGAAATAAGAAGACATCTAAAATAGTTTTAAAAATAATGAAATATTTAAAAAATCATAGTTTTAAAATGTTTTTAAAAATTAATTATTATTTTCATATAAACTGTTTAATATTTATGAGAAGAAAACATTTAATCATTTATATTATTTTTATATGAACTATTTACTATTTATTCAGCATATAGCTAAAACAGACTATAGCCTATCTGTAATTAATTTCTTTTGTTCTCCACCTGCACCCCATTCACACTTAGCCAACACAGATCTACCTGTGTTTAACCTGTATTTTTTCAAAATGTTGGCTAAATGGGAAGACACCACAGGAAGGTATTTAATACACTGTGAAATACCCCAAGTCTCAAACTACCTGTGTTGGGGATTTTGAGATAATTGCAAAATTAGTAGTAATTTTTTTTTTAATTTTTTATTAATTTACTTTTGACTGTTTAAAAGCACTCCTACCTATTTAAAAACAATACTATGATATCAAACTATGAATTCAAATATTAAAACAAGGATTGTTTTAGATGATATTGTATGTGTTAATTTAAAGAAAACAACTCTTGTAACAATCAATATAAGATTTAATGAATTCATCCCCAGGATCCCATCTATTAATTAAATGAAAAGAGAGCTGTGTGAATTATATTGAACACAAAATATCTGCATGCAGTCTATTTTAACCATGATAAGGCTTTGTCACCATGAAACATGCTTGTAAATTCTCATTTGAATAAAAAAGAAAATGTAAGTGACCATGATTAGAAACATTTTTTTTAAATTTAACTACTTTACACAGTGCTGCTCTGAACTTTTTCATTAACATTTCCACTTTACCATTAAACATATCAAATATAATATCGAAATTTCATTTGAAAAAGTTTTTGTACTAAAGTTTAATTTTTTGGCTTAAAAATGCATATTATATTATTATCTTTTCAAATACTCAAGGTATATTTTAATTCATATATTATCAATCCATAAAACTTCATAATACTAGTATTAAACAATTCTGAATACTATGTTCAGTAAACATCAAAGATCACAAGTTAATTAGAAAGTGACCATGAGTCCCAATCAAGGTGTACAGGCTATACACAGGGACCAGTAAGTAACTGTCAATCAAGTTTCAGCATTCAACGATGGACCTTCACGCACTTGATTGACAGGGCTACCCAGACAAGGTATTTATGAAGGCGATGCTTGCGTGATGCTTAAAATCTCTGCCTTTAAGAACATTTATTCAATCTAACTTCAAAGGGCAGATCACTCTATGAGCAAAAAATACACTATTAGTTGAGCTCTTTACTGTGCAGTGCTTAGAACTTCCTTAATTATATGTCTGACATGTAAAACGCAAAATTTAATAATTACAAATTACAAGTTTCATGTAAGCAACATATTTAGTTAGAAAATGATGTGAAACGCCTTCGGCGTTTATGCAAATTATCACGCAAGTCAATCGATTGACCACTTCATGAAATCGAAAAATAAGACAGTTATTCCTTAAATAAAGAAGACATATGAGTTTAGGTTGGTGTAGGAAAGGACGTACTTTACGCCTCTCTTGTTTGCAACCATATCAAAATATTTCACCAACGTCGAATATGGAATGTTAAAAGTTGTAATATTCGATCTTTTCCATTTTTTTATTTACATTTTTTATTTGTATTCTATATTTTTTGCAATGTAAAATTTTCCATTTGTATAATTTTTATTTGTATTCTATAGTTTTCCATTCGCAATGTATATTTTCCCATATGTATTGTATAATTTTCCATTTCTGTTGTATAATTTTTATTTATAATCTATAATATTTATTTACATTCTCTAATTTTGCATTTGAATTGTATGGTTTATTGTTTGTATTTTATATTTTTCACTTGTATTGTAAAACATCATTTAAATTGTATAATTCTTAATTTGCTTTCTATAATTTCCGTTTGCATTGTATAATTTTTTTAGGTTTCAATAAGCAAAAGTTCAAGGCTGTATATAAGAAAACACATGCTTGTGATTGCTTTTGTATCCCTTGCATTCCGTGCACGTTCCGTGCATCAATCATTGTGAAATGAATCTAGTAATGAATTTAGGAAATTTCTGATGGGGGCAAATGATTCTACTACAGTCATAAATGTGAAACATTCAATTCACTGTGGATTTTTTATGCCATTTCTAATAAAAAAAATTTTGTAAAATATTTACATTTTACGCTACTAATTTCCTACATTGTTAAATATTAAATTGTTTTATACTTATATAAATTTGAACTGTATGTTCCATTTATTACCCGAGAAACAAATGCAATTGGAATGATTACATGCGAAAATTATTCCGGACTTTATATATAAGCCGACAGACCATATTGTCCTTTCTATAATTCGCTATACCTTTTCTTTCTTTTTCTCTTTCTTTTTTAAAGATCTATTTCTAAATATAAATGAAATAGGGAATGTAGTGAATAAAATTACATAAATGCAAAAAAAAATAATAATAAAAAAAGAACACTTGTGTTTCCAACGTTTGAAATGCAATTCATGAATTTACGCATTGGGTATGTTATAATGACAACGCAATTTTGAAACAAAAAAATTCAAAGTGTGTTAAATTTTGGACCAAGTTAACGCACTTTGAAAAAATATTTGTTATTTATGTGCGTTATATCGATCATATTCCCATTTTGAAAAAAAAATAAGTGAGCGGCCTGGTCAATATTCTTGATATACAGAAACATTTTAAAAAGGAAATGTTCATTTATTATAAATCACATAGTCGATATTTTCACTACTATAACAACAGTTCTACATTTGATATTGTATAGTAAAATATATCATACAAATAGAATATTGAACACGAAACTAAACCTCATGATGAACTTTCCACAAGACGTCTCAAATTGTTACTTTACTTTTACAGATTCCTTAAAAAAATCTTTTTTTTACTACTTTTACAAGAAACATTCCCAAATCCGCAATTAGCTACTCGGCCTAAATTTCAGGACATCAAATTCAGAAATGTCTTTAAGATGAGGGTTCGTCCTGTAACATCGAAGAATCGAGTTATAAAAAAAGTATATATTCAGTGACAAATCACGCCAGCATCTTCACTGTGCCCACAGTCTTCATGTCCAAATCCATTGAAAGGGCATAATGCAAGTGACCTTTCTCCACCTCCACAGTTAACATTATCCATCCATGTCGGCCCGCTCCCTTCTCCGAAATGTGCATTAGAATAAGCACTACCAGAGCTAAAGAAATGACACAGAATTAGATGATCGACTTTAGACTTGTTTTTATGAAATTTGCTATTTTTCATTTGTTTAATGCATCAACATCTACATAAAAAAGTCATTTTTCCCTAAAGGTCTTGATTTTTAGATTTTTACCCTCAAATTCTCTCATGCAACATAGTAACTATAAGAACTGGCACTTGATAGACAAACTTCTTGTATTATATAATATACATTTATTGCATGATAGTGAGGGAAATATGAAGACTTATTCAGCCAGAAAAAATCATATTCCCCGAGGGCTTCGCCCGAGGGGAATATGACTTTTCTTGGCTGAATAAGTCTTCATGTTTCCCGAATATTCATGCAATGAATTGTTTATTATACCAAATCAAGAAAATAAACAGAAGCTATCAAATTCGGCACCGCTCTCAAATTCACTTTCATTTTTTACGTAAAGTTACTATAAAACCCATTGGTCAACACATTATCATCTGTTTTGTGATGTAAAGTGGTAAACCAGGCTATTGTGACGTCTACTACTCTAGGTAGTTTTCGTTCAACGAACGATAACTGTATTGCGGGAAAATACACCAGGTGTTCAGAAGAGGTGGAATATGATGAAAAGTGTGCCGACGGCCGGAAAATATGAAGTTTTACGGCCCGATCACGTGATAACTTAGAACCAATTAGCTAACGCGTTGTTTAGAATATTGTAACGTGTAAACCTACTGGGTTCTACAAGGGACAATGGTTCTTAACTAATATAAATATGTTTTTCCTCTTACTCTATCTGAGTTATTGATTGGAACTATGTACAATTAATTTCAATGGTAAGCCGTGGTTCCTGAGCAAGGTAACCTGCACTGTGTTCCTGGAACAGGCAGAGTTCCTATTGGTAAGTGAAGTACCAGGTCCTTTCACCCTTACACAGAATTACTTCGCCCTGGTACCTCACCACAATTCCTCTAGACTGTTCTCTCTCCACTAATGTGCTTCTAACCTTCGCTTTATTATTTTTCAAGTAATGATTTAATTACCTAACGCTTTCTTCTTCTATCTTCTTCCTCTTATCTGAACAACTGATTGAGTCTGATTCCGTCAGAATAATGCCTGGCAGCTGCCAGCGTCTCCTTTATATACCTACAAACCATTCTATCTACTCAGAGGGGTGATCAGCCTATTGGAAGAGTCCACAATTCAATATCCCCTCTGATTCGACTCTAGTAGGCATGGCCAAATACGCTACCCATTACAATATTTATAAAGAGGTATAATAATTTATATATATTTAGATCTCTTTAAAAAGTTGAATTTTATTCTGAATCTAAATGCCGTTATATACCAATATTACCATTTCTTTTTTTTTCTCTCTGTGATAACTCTTTGAAATTTAGCGGAGTTAATTTCTTGATAATTCTACCCGAATGTAAACTAGGCAGGTCAATAGGTCAGGAGCTAAGGAGGCCTAATATGCATGCAAGTCTCGTGCGCATCTGTCTCTGAGTCTGACGCTAAGGAGGCCAAATATGCATGAAAATCTCGTGCGGCTGCCGTTGTGTTTGACGTCAGTGGCCGACGAATAATGGAATTGGCATTTGAGTCCTCGTGTAACTTAAATTTAGGTCTACATTTTTAAAGTCTGAATCCAAAATTTTATTTCACAATGAAAAGGAAATATAAGAAATCATTGTCTAGTTAGTATAGTATGCCAGGGACATAAACAATAGTGGGAAACATGTGATAATTTTTGCATAACGGGCTTCGCTTGTTATGCAAATCATCCCATGTTTCCAACTATTGTTGATGCCCTGGCATACTATACTAACTAGACAGTGATTCCTTAAGTAATTGATTTACCTAGAAAATCCCAGCGTTCTACAAACTACGCGGGCGTCGTTGTCGTCCCAGCTGTCGTCACACACAGTTCCCCAGGTGTTTCCCAATCTAACCTCTACTCTTCCTTCTCTTGAAGAATTCCCTCCGACCAACCGGATGTCAACTTTACATGTATGTAAATAAAAGATTTTTATCTATATCCAAAACATCTCATAGATCTTCCTTTACATCAAAGATGTTACAGCAATGTACAGCTCAACGCTTTTTTTTAAACTTGGTTTTGCGCACAAATTAAAGTCACATTTTTCTTGCAATAAATATTAAAATTATCGAGCCTCAGTACGAGACATATCCTTTATATTATTAAATATTTGATGCTAAATGTGCATATCTCTAAAATAAATATCTTAAGTTTTAAAACTCGATGCTTTAAAAGGGAATTTGTTTATTAATTCTATAATGTTACAGATGTATTCTTCTACCTTAGAAATTTCTAAATCAAGCTTTCTTTGGCTCTATTTAGTTGAAATGTCCAAATGGACAGATGAGTATTTTTCTAAGTACTTTGCACATTTTTCATACTTGACTTGGTTTTGTCGAAATGCAGAGACTAAAAATGTCAAAAATGCATGAAGAAATCATGTCAAAGATCTAGGATAAGATTAAAATGTATAGTTTATCTTTCAGCATAGTACATAAATTGTTACCATTGAAAAGAAAATTCTTATACATATATGGTCTTAAACTTTGAAATTTTGCGTTGGAAGGTATCTTTCATGATGCTAGATTTCAGAAAGTTAAATTAAAAATGCCATCTTTTTAACATGAAAAGCATGAACTGTACTCTTTCTGTTTTTAGGCAAGATGAGAGTATGCTTCAAATGAACGGATACAAAGACGACTGCATTTGACGAGAAACCCTGAAAAAAACTTTTGTGAACCGTCATAATCTATCATCCAAGAACATCCTACCAATTATTATGTGTGAATTATGTTTAAAGTAATGGAATTAGATTCAAGTTAAGTTATAAATTACTTTTAAATATATTATGTTGTCACGTTACACAATTTTGCATTATAACAATCTGACCTTCATTTGTGCGAAAAAACATGTGAATATAAAAAGTGCGTTGAGCTGTATAGAACATATCCCGGTATTGCAGTAATTGCTATCAATTTGATGATTGATTGATTATTTGTTGTTTAAAATGTCTCGAGAATTTTTTCATTCATATGGCAAGTAAGCACAGGAAAACACAAACAATACACAGGTGTAACTTTTTATAGATGTGGCAAATGGGGACATATTAAGTCTGATCCAACATGACCTGCCCTGGCTCTGGAATGCTGTAAGTGTCACCAGCGAAGTCATTTCGCTAAGTGCTGTAAATCCTACATCGAAGACTTACAAATATTCTTAACGAGGCATACCCAAGCAACCCTTTAGATTGGTGTAGTGGAAACAACTAATCCATAGGATTCCGAAGAAGCTTATGCATTTACACTTCCAACAAGTATGAGAAGTACTGTAATGTTGTGAAAAGTTGAAGAACTTGATGATGTTACACATAGATGGAAATGTTACACATGTGCCACAGCCAGTCGGAAGGATTCCTTTCGCTTTCGCTATGAGGGAGACAATTGAAGCCAGAATTAAAGAGTTGATGGATATGAATACTGTGGTTTCATCAGTATTCGTTGAGCACCAATTTTCCTGGATTTCGTTGTTGAGCAGATCCACGAATTCAAATGTTCATTGAATTACGAAATATGACATACATTTGTATAGGCAAAGCTTTTGTCCACGAAATTACTTATCCTCGAAAATGTCTGTTTTACAAAATCAACGAAAATTGATGCCAACGAAAATTGATAAAACCACAGTATCATTGAGCTGGTCGAGGGATCATAATCGTGGGTCAGCCCTGTCTATGCGTGGACATGAGGCAAGCTAATGAAGCTATCATTAGAGAGAGAGAGAGTCCTATACCTACCATTGATGAGATTTTGCACGAGCTAAATGGGAGTTGTATTTTCAGAAAGTTGGACCTGAAGTGGGGCTTTCATCAATTCGAATCGGCTTAAGGATCTCGTGACATCACCACTTTTGTTACTCACGTTGGGCTGTTTCGTTATAAAAGAATTCTGCACCCGAAATTTATCAGCACACCATCCAGCAAGCACATCAAGGATAACATCACTGTGCACGCCAAAACAGTGGAAAAGCATGACCGCAGATAATTAGCTGTCATTAAGAAACTCGGTAACAAAGGATTGACATTTAACAAGGAAAAATGTCAACTTCGTCTCCAGAAACTAGAGTTTATCTTTTCAGATAAAGTCATCGACCCAACCAGAGAGAAGGTTAAAGCTATAATAGAAGCTAGAAGTTTCCTTGGATTGGTGACCTATTGTGGAAATTTCATTCCTAACCTATAGCGACATTGTCCGAACTATTGAAAATTTAATTTCCAGTCTGTAAAGCTTCTTTATCTCTGCAACTCAAGATCTCTAGCAGACTCTTTCTCCACATCCTGAAGCGTCAAGGTTCTGGGTACCGCTTGCAGAACTACGAATCTTAAATTGGACCGATTGTGAGGAAAGCTATATATCTGTCAAAAATGAACTGTGCAGTATAGGAAAAGTTATCCTCAGAGGTACACATATTGTGATTCCAACCAGCTTGGGAAGAAAGTTTTAGCTGATGCTCATGAGGGACACCAAGGAATCACTAAAACGAAACAACGACTCAGAGAGAAATTCTAGTGGCCAAAGATTGACAGTGATGCTGACAAGAAATGTTACGCATGTCAAGAAGTGGGAGATCCCTCGTCACCTGAACCTTTAGGCCGTAAAGTGCTTCCAGATCGTCCATGGCAAGCTACAGCAAAAAACTTTAATCTTGACCTACTTTCATATTTCACAATAATATTTTCAGCGTACCCTGCTTTTGGTACCAATACATTAAATTTGCATTTAAGAAAAGTTTAATCTTTGCTATGTCGTCATACGGGGCATCAGTGTTTCACAAACACATCTTGTTTTTTAGACAGGTCGATGTCGGCCATCGTAGAATTAACTTCTTTTGTCTTTTTTTTCATTAAAAGTAATCTGAGCCTGATAAATCCGTATCCCTAGCCCTCTCTATAATCATCACGTTTGTTATTTAAATAAAACAAAAAGAAATATATGAAAATGATACAAAAATAAAGTAGAAGAGAAAACGTGCACCTCAAGTGCTGAATAAAATACTAGTAAAACATTTTACAGCAAATGATCCCAACATCCTCGCCATGATCACAGTTATTCTGTAAGAAGGCGTTATGGTTGCAGAGTGCAAGCGATGTTTCGTCACCTCTACAGGACACGTCATCAAGAACGATGTTGCCAGATCCTCGACCATACGCTGCTGAATCTTTATGTGTTGCGTGAAAAACCCTAAATGAAGAATTCAGGAAAATGAATAACAACTTAATCAAGGATTTTGCCATTTCGAATTCATAACTTTGATCAAGCATTATGAATCTTGTTTGCATGATTTAGACATAGCATATGAATAGACAGCTCTAATACAACAAAAAGGGCTAGTTGTTCTTTTAAACATAATTTTAATCTCAAAATATACTATATATACGAGAGATATCCAAGTTGACGACAGACAACTTTGGCCACATTGTCGCTGAATGAATCATCACACACGGTTCCCCAACTGCCATTGTATTTCACTTCTAATCTCCCTTCGGCACTGTTGTATCCACCAATAAGTCTTACACCTTACGATAGAAATTTGTAGTTTCCATCCTTGAATACAGAACTCAGATCAAAATGTACAACTATTTAAGTTATATTTACACATGCATGATACATAAATGTCAAAAAAGTTAGTCTCATACAGCCAGTTTTGAAATTATATCACCAACATTAAAGGGAATTCTACCACGATTATCGTAAACTTCAAAGGACACCGCCGGACATTATTCTCCAATAAATCACGAACGTCATCAAAAAATTATCAGATCAGAAACACGTATCAAATCTTAACAATTCAAATGCATGTTTGGCTGTAGAATGAAATACTTGTTTAGACCGCATAGATGTGTCGTCTTTTGCAGAATAAACACTGTAAATTGCATCAAGATGCTGATGAATGTCGGTTTTTATAGCTAAGCGGGGCTATTCCACGGACCTCCCTACACATTAAACAACGTGATTTTAGCAGTAAAACAGGAACATGATTTTGTTATTGTATATTCTTTTTAACTGATCAATACATATAACGAACATATTTGTAATTTAATAAGGCTATTTTTAATGTAACGAAAGCTCAAATCGTCTGCATTCTATGTACAGGTAAGCAAACAAATTTTACCTCTGGTGTTATATGAAACAGCGTAATCTAGACATGGTGACCTAATTCGTTTCTCTATAGAGGAAACGATTATCCCTAATTTAGCGTTTGTACCATACTTGGTAGAATAGAAATAAAGTCCTTGTTGTCGTGAATGATGCAGAATAACCTCCTCGGTCTCGAAATGTTGTTTGAAATATAAAAGCCTCGGCTAGCGCCTCGGCTTTTATCTTTCAAACAACATTTCTCGACCTCGGAGGTTATTCTGCAACATTCACGAAAACGCGGACTTTATTTCTTAAATAAATGTCAAAAAATCCTCATATGAAACAGACGCTCTCCAATAATTTAAAATTATTCATCTCATTGATGATCGAATTTCTAACAAAGCAAATGTGATAAAGGTGACGTGAGTAATTAATGGAAATTTTAAAACTCATAATATTTATTTCAAAGATGTTGAGAAAGAATTTAACACTTTCAACTTTGATATTTTAATTTTATGTAGTTGTTATTTAAAACAAAATGAGAGAAAGATTTATTTCGATATATTTCAATGTAAATTGATTTCCTATTGTGACCCCACCCTACCCCTGGGGGCATGATTTAAACAATTTAGAATCTACCTTATCCCACAAGGCATTCACATAAGTTCCAGTATTTCTGGCCTAGTGGTTCTTGAGAGGAAGATTTTAAAAGATTTTCCCATATGCAGGTATTTCATTATAAACTTTGATTCATATATGGACCCACCTTACTTAGGGTTCCATGAATTTATTGATTGATAGACTGTGTGTTGTTAAACGTCCCTCTCGAGAATTTTTCACTTAGATTGAGAAAATTGACATTTGCCGGTGGAGAGCTACAGATTTTGACCTATGCTCGGAACTTAGGGCCTTTGAGCAGCAAAGGATCTTTTCATGCCAGCATCTACTGCGACACGGGACCTCGGTTTACACGGTCTCATCCGAAAGACCGGTCTCCACGTCCTACATTGGGATTCGAACCCGCGACATCTTGCCGTCGCGCTAAAAACAAAACACACCGCCACGCTTACACAACATGCCGTCGCGCTAACAAAAAAACACGCTTTAATACTAACACAAAGAAAAAATTGTAGGTTTATCAGAGCGACAGCGTTTGGGGGAAAGTTGTTTTTAATAGCATGAAAGCATGTGTGTGAGCACGAAAGAGTGTTGTCACCTAGCGCGTAGTAAATAGCTCAAGCATGTTGAAAACGATGCACTTGCGCGTTCTCATATTACGGTAGTCATATATCATTAGCACGTACGTTGTTCTTAGCATTCTGCACTGATGCTTTGTGAAAAACGCGCCAGCGCGTCGTTGCTAACTCGCTCTTAAACTTTTGCAAATGACCCTATCGGGACATCATAACCAACTCAGAGAGCCTTCACCCGAGTTTGTGCTTTGCTGGCCCATTAGTTCTTGGGAAGGATTTTTTTAAATCAATGTTCCCATCCCATTTTTGTCTTTTCTTCAATTTCTTGATCATCTCCCCTTAGAAGGGAGCTTGGTCCTTCATTTTACAATTTTTAACTTCCCTTCTTCCAAAGATGCTTTGTACCAACGTTGGTTAAATTGGCCAAGTCCCAGTGATATTTGAGACGTTTGGATGTAAACGGTTGGACGGACTGACAACAGGTGATCAGAAAAGCTTACTTAAGCTTTCAGCTCTGGTGAGCTAAAACTTTTATGAAATATTTCGCTGATTAGAACTTACCTGTTATCGCTGTTGTTTCTAAATTATGTTCCAATGTAGAAACTCTGGTGTTGGTATTTTGAAGCGTTCTTAATAGCGCAGAATATTGATTTGTCAGAGATGATATGTGGCTAGATGAATACTGTTGATTATGAGATACAGTTGTTTGCAATGTACTGAGAGTACTTTTAGTATTGTGTAAGTCACTTGTTAGCGAGGTTATCTGTTGACTTAATTCAGTATCTTTTTGCTCCTGTTTGGTAATCGTTAAAGTAAGGTACTTGACAGGGTTTGTCATATTGTTGATTTTCAAAGCAAGATCTGTTGCATCGGATATGTTTGATAACCTGTGGTATTCATCCATAATTCGTTGTACATATATTTGTAGAACAGAAAGTTCATTGCTTAGAGTTTGTGTTGAAGGCGTCTGTTTGGAAATGTTAAGCAGTTGTTCAATCATTAACGCTTGATTCTTCAAAGTGTGGTTCTGCAACTGAATTTGGGTCTGCAAAAGGTTCATACGCTGCTCCATATAAGCAATGGTATCATTTCCGAGAGTACCTATGCTTGATGGTGGCTTGTTCGTATTCAAAAGAAAGCATTGCACAGATAACAATAACCCACAGATTACTAACAATGAAGTGTTGAAGTAATTCATGATGAAAGGTTTATTTGAAACATGGAGTCATTATATTAGATTTTATATGAATTATTCCGGAAGCTGGGCAACCAACCTGACCAATGGCTGGTCTTTCCAATATCTATAAAATTACACACAATAGAGAATCTGTTATCATTAAAACTATCAACTTTATCGTGAAAGATTAGTCTTATCCGTTTTCTTATATTCTCCCCATTTTCGCTGTTTCGGGGGTGGGCTTTACTGTGCAGAACCGGTTGTTTTGAATACCGGTACCGCCAACGATCCACTAGTGTTTTGAAGCTTAATATTGTAAAAATGTTTAAAAGTGACGCATTTTGAAGGAAAACATTTTAGTGGTCTCAGTTTCTTATTTAATATAAAAGTTTTAAAAATTAATTTTGTATTTTTATGTGTAACTAGATAGCTTTTGTTAGAATAATTTTGTCGCATTCGATGTCAGTCCAATAATAGACCAAGCAGCCAATGATTGTTTTATTATATAAACACATTAAATTCATCTATTTATTCCCATTTACCGAAGTCCCAGTCAAACAAAATGAAAGAAACAGGGTGTAAAATAATTATAAGTAACATGAATTCTCAAATGTGTAAAGAGACTGTTAACCTTTATTTTAGATGTGACTTAAAAAAAAAAATAAACGTCAGGCATGTACATATCATAAAGGGGTCAAAAAAGGGCTGGACATTACGAGAAAAAAAATGATAACTTGCCAGAAACACTATAGTGCCAGTAATTGTTGTGTGAGAAAAACGTTTTCTTCCAGCATCTAGATCATTCATGCAGTTTCTGGTGGCCGTGAAATAATCATCAGTTTATGCCTTGAAATAGTTCTTCGATGATTCTTAAGGACAGATGACAATAAATGGATGTATACATCTCTGCTTCTATTTTTGTTGTAAATGATGACAATAATAAATTTCTTAAAAATATTAAGAAATTATAAACCTTCTATGATGTTGAAAATTCTACTTTCTGCAACGATTCTTATTAATCTATACAGATATTTTTCACTTATTGTAAATATTATTGTGGATCTCTGAATATATTTTTTTTTCAAATACGCGATGAAACTTGTTGGTTTACTTATCAAAACATGTTAAGGCATTACATTAAAGGGTTAAGTCTAAATTTTACCAATTGGGTTTGAAATTTTAGAAGAAAATTAAATGTGTTTTGAAAACATATATAGAGAGTATATATTTTGAAAACACATAGAGTACATGAAATCCAGAACTTTAAAACACAAATATGAATTAGTTTAAAATTTTGATATACTTTTATTTGAAATATCGATCTTTACAACCATCAGTCCCTATAATCAGGGACCTATATACTAAGTCCCTGCTATAATTTAATTAAAACAATATTTTATTATGAATGATTATTATAGGATCGGACAGCAGGCACTGCCTATTTGAGTCCTCTCCATAATACAAGGTAAAATTCAAACATTAATAAATAAATATTAGTTACATTACGTTGAATAAAATATACAAATTTATCAGTAAATATATATTCAAAAGAAAAACGACAAAATTTATGGAAAGAAAATATATAAATGAGCTGATGATGCGATGTACATGCTTGCTGTTAAACATGATATAACTGGCATTTCACTTTGTTGACAAGACAATTTTTTGATTTAATCTGTTTTTTTTTTTTCAATCATGAGAGACGTAATCTTGTCTCTACATGTAAAATATCAAACTATAGAGCTAAGATGTATAATCTTATCTTTTTCTGCTTCTTGACTGTTCGAATATTTACAAATCTCTCTAAATTATTTTGCAAAGATGAAACACGGAAAGATAAATGATTTAGTAAAGTGTTTTACAGAAGAGGAAGTTATCACCAGAAATTTGCATGATTGGACATGGATTTACGTTGTTAAGATTTGTAAGCTCACCTGAGCCAACCATTATAATCATACAAAAACCTCACGTGAATTCTCAATAGCTCCTTATTTTTTTTTTTTTTTACTGATTTAAAAATTTGTCTTTCAAACGTACATGTATTTTTTTTTTTTATTTTTACACTTTTTGTCTCTGCACCAATAGCCTTAGCCTTTTGCTTATCATTGTAATGAATAACCTTGATCACAAAATCAAATGAAAGTTGAGACTTAAGCTGATGTCTTGGTAACACAGCAAAAGTTTCGCGTTATAACGCGAAAGTTACGTGTTTATACGCGGAAATTTCGCGTTATAATGCGAAAAATTAATTGCTTTTAACCTACGAAAATGAGCTCAGTTGGCTTTCATACTGCACAAAGCCATAATGAGAACTCAAATATTTTCGCGTTGCTCCCCCCCCCCCCCCCCCCCCAACTTTTTGTGATAAAAGGGAAATTTAGTATTGGAGGTCAAAAGAATTGTTTTTTTTCTTGTTAACTTTTTCAGGTAAGTATTTTTTTTCTCCTGGCTGCCCCCCCCCCCCCCCTTCAAACACGACGCTACGTCACTGTGGCAAAAAAGTGTAATTGATTATTATAGAGCATGCTCTCTATACACGGGTGTAAGATATATTAATATTTTATATAGGTGTGAAGTCTATATATATTTCAGTATACACTGTACGTAGTCGGGTTCCTGAGGCCCCTCTGCTTTTATAATTTGGGACCCCAATAATATAAAGCAGATGGATCTTGTATTCTATTGGACCCCCCCCCCCCCCGAGAAAAATAATAAAAAAAAATAATCAAAGATATCAACATGATCAAAGTATCAATGAACAGATATCAATGTTATTTATACTTCAAATTACATACATGTTTTTTTCCAAATGAAGTGCAAACTAGGCCTATTTGACTGTAGAAAAATACCACAGAGTAAATTAAAACTCTCTAGTGTGCAGTGTACAGAGAGGTATTTTTTTCATGGGAACATATAACATTATTCAGTATTAACTAAGCCTCTTTTTGTCAACAATTTATATTCTCGCATATAACATGAAAATGGTGAAATACATTTTTTTTAAATATGTACCTTGGATTATAGATTGAAATGTATTTTTTCAAGTTTCTCCTTTCATTTATTGAAATGTGTAATTTTTTTTAAACGTTAACATGTGCATCATGTAAGAATTGGATATAAAAGAAATGTAAATTTATAATTACATGAAGCAAAAAAAAAAAAAAAAATATGGGATAAAATACAAAAAAATTGATCTGGAATAGGAGACGACCCGAAACTCCACTGCCACACGCTTGTGTGTGCACATAATTAAGCATAAGATCTCTAATCTCTGTGTCTCAACGGCACTCTTTCTTTTTTTATTAAACTATTTTGAAATATTCTTTATTGATATTCAGTCATTTTTGTTTGCTTTGTCTGTTAAAGAATTTTTGTTGGACTCCACCCCCCTTTTCATATCTAATGACTATGTCCAAATATTGCTCGGGTTCGATGAAATCGAGCGACTCGAGCGATAAAAATCGGGATCGGAATTCTGTGTTCCAGAAAGCGAAAATGACAACGGAGAACTCCGAGAAGGTTGAAAAGGGTCAAAAATCAAAATATCTCATTTTTTCAGTGATGTGTAAATTTTAAAATGCAGGTAAGTTATACATTGCGTATCGTTATGACAATGTGCTTAAATTTCAAAGTGAGGACTTGCACATTACGTAAAAAACCAGTGTTACCCAAGCCATGTTTATTTTAGAACTTGTTCAAAATTTTAGTCTCTGTCCTGAATTTGTTTCTTTAGATTAATTCAGTCACTCAGTGGTTCAGATTAAGTGTAGGAAATAAGATTCTTTTATGGGGAACTGCTCAGAGGTCACAAAAAACTTGATAAACAATGTACAATATTGTGGTGAAATTGTAAATGTAAATATGTCCACTATGACCTTTCACCCTGACCTCATAGCCATCCACCCGTGCCGGCACGATTCCTACCTCAGTCGAGAATTACCAGTCAAACCTTTCACCACGTTTTCCTGCTTTGTCTTGTTATATTGTTGCATGTACCTGAGTTTACCTACCATGTAAACCTGGGTGTTCGTCGTCACCTAGTTTGATTGTAAGGTAGGCGACATTTATTCATAGTAAAATGCTATAATTTTACTACATTGGCGTCGCCGGTAATTCGGAGCGGGGCATATTGTATTTACATGTATTTTACTTGCAAAAATTCACGTGTGAGTTTCCACTTGTGAGTAAAGGCACAGGTGAAATATTTTGCATTTAGTCTTTTTGGAATTTTAGGAAACTGTTGCTTACAGGCGTTATAATTAACGTTATTTGCAAAGTTCAGACAATTTGACTAATTTGCCATTTTTCTTTTTTCACTCGTGACTCGCATTAGAACACGTGGTGATATCACGGTCCAATTATTTTTGAAGTTTCATTTTTCATTAGTATTTAGTTTTATATTTTCATTAGTATTTGATATTATATTTTCGTACAGGCGTTTTTGTAAACGTTAGTACGAAAATTTTGAACATTTTCATTGTCTTGTGCAAATTACGTTTTTTTTTTCTCTCGACTCATTGAATTTTGGTCACTTGTGCCGCAACGACTGAACTTTATTCTAAATTGTTTATCTATTTCATATTTTTGCATGAGACAAACATTTTTTTTTTCTATTGAAAAGTTATTGTCACTCGTGTTGACAATTTTCGAGGAGCGCCGTTTTCTTCTCGACTCGTCATTTAATTAGGATTTAGAGTAATCATATATTTCTTTTTTCTCTAAGTTCCCTAAAAAATATTTTGGGGGAAAGTAGAGATATATTGTGTTTTTGATATTGTATATTTTTGTTGTGTAGTTTCACAGAGCTAGTTCACGCAAACCAGTTTACCTGTTGTAGCTATATATAGATCGAAGCGCACGTGCTTTACGCTTTAACAGTAGACCAGACTGATTTTGTAGTGTAAAGGCCTTACATCTTAGCTCTGTGAAATAACAGTAAATATAATTGCAAAAATATAATCAATTTATATACCATCATCAATTGATTATACAATTAATTAATTAGCTTTTCTACAACTTTTCGTAACATCAATGCTTGTTTCTACCGTCGTCTGTCAT